TTCTTATTTATATACAATTTCTTTTTCTTAAGAATGTAGCTTTTTCTTTAGGCTCATTAACTTCAGTATAGAAAGCTAAGATGAGCTCGGTGCAACCTTGTTCATTCACTTGTTCATTCACTTGTAGGAGAAGAGAACACTCCTGTGAGGGCAGAGTGAACAAGCAGCATGATGGATTCAGAAGATCTAATCATGAAGAAGTCGAAGTCAGACCAAATTGGTCACCGCATTGTAAGTGTCAGCTCAGGCAAGCATTACTTTTGCGGTTATTGTGCGGCCATGACAAACGTTGCAGTCACCTTCCCCATTCAGAAGGTCCTCTTCCGGCAGCAACTCTACGGTGTACGAACCAGAGATGCAATACAGCAGTTGCAGAAAGACGGGCTGAGGAATCTGTACCGTGGAATCCTTCCTCCACTGATGCAGAAGAGCACAACCCTGGCATTGATGTTTGGTCTGTATGAAGACTTGTCTTCCATATTCTTAAGGCACATGAGTGCACCAGAAATTTTGACCAGGAGCTTGGCAGCTGTGCTTGCTGGGACCACCGAGGCTCTTCTGACCCCATTTGAGCGTGTTCAGACACTCTTGCAGGACTACAAACATCACGACAAATTTACAAACACTTTCCAAGCGTTCAGAGTTCTCCGACAGCATGGGGCCAGAGAATATTATCGGGGCTTGGTACCAATCCTGCTTCGCAATGGTCCTAGCAATGCTCTTTTCTTTGGTCTGAGAGGGCCTATCAAACAGTGCTTGCCGGAAGCAACAACTTACAGTACTCACTTGATCAATGATTTTATCTGTGGTGGGGTATTGGGTGCTATGCTGGGATTCCTGTTTTTCCCAATGAATGTTGTAAAAGCCCGCATGCAGTCACAAATTGGTGGGGAATTCCAGTCTTTTTCAAAAGTCTTCATGAAGATTTGGCAGGAGCGTGACAGGAAACTTACACATCTCTTCCGAGGTGCCCATCTGAATTATCATCGGTCCCTGATTTCTTGGGGTATAATCAATGCAACGTATGAATTCTTGCTGAAATTACTATGAAAAGTGTTACTTGCTTGTGAAGTTCCTTTTCTCAGTTGGGCATCAGACAGCTCTGAGCTGTTAATTTCCAGGGAGTAATCAAATTCTTTCTAGTAACATAACATTTGGGAAATGTAATTGCAAAATTATAGCTCTTTCAGTAGGTAAGGATGACTTTTATTTAAGCAGTGCCTACTGAGTGCAAAACGTAATTGCATTCACTCTATTTAATGGTCTTTCAGTTTGTGGGCATGTGTCAACTGTATGGTTAAAATGGTCAATTAAAAACTTTCTTGACATAAAAGGATACAAGAAGTTGGATATGCCCAAAGCATGATAAACTGAATTTTATATTGAACTAGAAACAGTTTGCTCCAGATCACCGTCAGCATTTCTCAACACTCCTGGTGATCCAAAGAATGCACTTTGAGGAAATGTAACAGGACGGAAAACTGATATTTAATTTGTTGCTTGGCTTTTTTGTCAAAAACAGTGACTTCTTGTAATTGGTGGGCCTTAAGCTCCCATGATGCCCCCTTTTTTCCTTTGAAAAGGAACACTAAATTTGGAAAATCTCTCATTTTGAAAGCTAAGTTTCTGTAACATTTGTGGAAAAGCTTTTGCTAGACAGTCGATATAAATGAGATTTTGTCAAGATTTAATATCACATTTCAGAAACCAGGTTCACTGTTAAGTCCAGTGGTGGGTATATCTGTTTCAAATTAAATAGCTGGAGGGTTATGTTGGCTGGGGAGGAAAGGCTAAGAAAACCTTTTATCTGAAAAGTTTTAAAGTGTCCTTCATATTATACTTGTCACTATGGACTTTTGTTTTCCCACCTATGCTACTAGCTTTGGTGCAAGTGAATACATTAAGCAGTGTGGTTTCATTTTAAATCACTCTTCAGCTTTGGAAAGTAAGGTAGAAATCACATCTGGTGCTATGCAACCTAAATTAAGCATTTTAATGTCCATTTACTTTCAGCAGCATTTAAAACTGTTTAACTTTTTATTGGATTGTGTTCTGTGTTGATCTTGAGTCTAGTTAAACAGGATTTTAGTGAACAGGATTAGAAGTGTTATATTGGACTACTGTCATTTTCAAGGTGTTTCACTGTGGTAGAAAAGGCATATTGTTTGTATTGGGGCATGGACTCCTGCGATTTCTTTCATATGAACAGGTGTTTATAGAAGTAGGCTTTGTTCACGAGAGATGTCCACCCACTTCCATAGCGGAGAGATTATTTGACCGGAAGCCCACTTTATGTTTAGCCTGACTGGTTTGGGAACTGGCTTTATAGTGTGATGTGAAGGACCATGCATGCATGTAAAAAGGAGAAAAGCTTCTGCAAGCATTACACGAAGCTGATTTTGTGTGATTGTGTTCAATCATGTTCACAAACATTTTTCTGTACATCAGAATTCTGGTAAAAAATGAAACAGGCAACACAAGTGGTCTCAATCATTTATCAAGAGCAAAGCAAGTCTGTCATAATAATGGTCATTATGGAATTGGATTTTTTTTTATACATCCCCGTCCCCCACACAAATAGGAGTTAATGCTTGCCTATTTGTGGTGTACAGGAAAGTTTTCCCAAACTGAATTGATCATCCTTCAACTGTTATTTTTTATTTTCAGCGCAACTTTTCAGCATTGAGCTGGGATAATTTTTTTTACCTTACCTTGCCTATTTTCTACCTGAAAATATTACCCCAAAGCAGTAACTAATCCTGATCCAACTTTTCCCATTTCTTGATATTTGTACTGTACTAGTGTATGCTACTTACCCTCACAGATTGCCAAGCACAACATGCAAGAATGTTTGATATTTTGAATGTTGTAAGTATTTGCATTTAAATAAAATGTCTGTTGAATGTTTAACTGGTAAAATTTGATTTTACCAGGGTTTTTTTTTTTTTGTAACTCCCCTTGATGAATAAACAAATAAGTCCCACTTCCTGAAATGAAATTGACTAGTAGTTCTGTAACACAGTTTTTAGTTCTTGTGAGTATGGAAACCTTCTATGGTATGTGACAAAGCAGAAAAGAAATTAATAATTGTACAACTGCTTTCAGATTTTTCTTCTCATCCACAGAGGAACAGGATAGAAAATAACATACAGTTTTGTATAGATGTGAAAAATAGACACACATGCGCATAAGCACATGGGTGGGGACATATCACACAGATAGGGTAGAATTTCTAGGACAGGTGATTGTGCCTGCCACATTCAGGAGTGATACGGGATTCAGAGCAGGAGATGCATATACTACTGTACAGCCCATGTCTAATTGACTCTTCCGGCTAATGCCCATGCCAACCAGCTTGGCAGTCACTCACAGAGAAGGTAGCCATTTTTGTATATTTAGAGAACATTGCAAACATGCAGCTTAATACTTGTTCACTACTTTTTTTATCTTCCTCAGATCTCACTGTATAACAGATGCAAGAATGTAGCTTGTGGTACAGGACTTCCAACCTTACCGAATGTTGCAAAAGCAGGCAACCTAGTGCCCTCTAGTTGTTTTGACCAGGAGTCAGGATTTGTGGGAGCTGTAATTAAAATATCCGGAGGGGACTGGGTTGCCTACCACTGGGTTAGGGGGTCAAATTCACATCCTGACACACTCCATATTTTGCAAGGTAGAGATGTCACTGAGCATAAGTCCCAATCATGCTGGCTTGTTTGAAGTTTCTTTTAACTCAAATTTTTGGGTATCTAAGAAACAGCTTGAAAGTGGCTGAGAGGGCAGGGCACATGCCAGTTAAACAGTGCTTATTTTCCCCTTAGCATATGGAAACTGCGACCTTATTTTGGAGGATCCCATTTTGTTTCCAGATAGGCATGGAGCTCATGCAAGTTTTGTTAGGGGAGATGCAGAATCTTTCACAACAAGATCTTTCACAATGTAGAATGCTTCCATTCACCATCAGAGCCAGCCATGTCCTTCCCCAGGGTTTTCCGTTCTCTCCACCCTGACAGAGACTCACTGTTCTGTAACTACAGCATGTAACCTCACTGGGGTGTTTCGAGACCTTTACCCCTTTAGGAGCTTTCTACTTTTAAAACTTGGGAGGTCTCCTGAGCAAATGACACTTCCCTCGTTTCTCAGAATCCCTCATTTTTTGCTATGGGACCAGTATAATATATAATCCAAGTTTGCTATTATTAGAAGAGAGAGAACACTGCAAACTGCCTTCCGTATGTTGATAGGCAGAGTCCCTACGTCATATGTAAAGCATCTTCCAACTGCATTTTAAACAGATGCCATAAATGCAACACTAGTACTTTTCCTCTGGTATAAGAATTAATGAAGCTGAATAGCAGAACCACAATCTGCTCAATATGTGTATGAACCACCATCATTAACAGGATTAAAGTCAGTGCTGCCTCAGTCCTGATTTTGTGCAAATTGCTGAAACAGATAAACTGGGCAATAGGTCTAATTTAGCTTATCCTATTGTTTTGGGGTTTTTTAATGCACTCTTTAATTCGCATGTGACATGCCCTCTCAGCTGTAACAGTTAAACTGTAACTTGTGGCTTAGTTCTTAGGGCCAGTCTAGTGGGGACATGGAAAGCCATAATTTCTACTTGAAAGCAGCCACTGGGGTGGGGAAGCTGAACCAAGAGTCACGGTGCTGTGAGGGAGGTGCTTGGGTATCACCATGTAAATTTCCTTCTGCAGCTTGCCCTCTGGCCTGTGCTGAGATGCTTGTGGCCGTTCAAGATAGTAGGCATAAATCTGCCTCAGACAATCAGTGCAGGGCAAAAATGGGTGCCCCACCCCAGGACTGTGATCCTGCCCGAGGTTGCCCCTTTGTATTGAGCCTGGGTTGTAAAATCCAGACTTTGGTCTCTGGCTTCTAAAGTATAGGCCTGCGTAGCATGAATGAAATGCTACACTCTAGTTATCTTGCTTAGCTTAATTAATGTTGGGTTAATGTATTAATGAGAAAGTTGGCTAAAGCATGAACACTCAGGTATCCTGTTTTGAGAGAACGCACCTTATTGAACATACTACTGCCCTTATGTCTTCTTGTTGGCTTAGTTTACTTAGCTTATGCTATTTTATCTATCATTTTTGTACATGAAGCAGGAATAAGACTGCACTTATGAGAAACTTCATGTGCTATGGAGTCCAAGAATGGGAAGCTGCCTGCAGTATACATTTCAACTTGCTAAGGAAGTAAACAGGTAGTTTCACACGGCATAATCACTACACCTGTGTAACAGCCAGACCCTCTCCCATGAGTAGCTCATTTTCCTTTTGTGGGGTTCAGACACCAACATCTTCAAGGGGGCTTTGCTGACTGTCAGTGTCAGCTGATTGGAGCCTACTTTGTAGGCTAGTCCACACTGAGGTTTATAAGTGACTTGCTGCTAAACTTTTTGAAAAGCTAGCTAGTAATATGCTTGTTGCAACAATAAGTCTGCTTTTAAGTAAACCTACAGCTAGCTGGGAACAATAGATGGCAAAAGAAGAAGGGGACGGCAGAGAATGAGGTGGCTGGATGGAGTCACTGAAGCAGTCGGTGTGAGCTTGAGTGGACTCCGGGGGATGGTGGAGGACAGGAAGGCCTGGAGGAGTGTTGTCCATGGGGTCGCCATGCGTCAGATGCGACTTTGCAACTAGCAACAACAGCAGCAGCTAGCCTACTGATTCCTTGAGATCATCCAAACTTTTAGCCAACAGCTGGGGCAGCAGACCCCTCCACCGCCACCTCCACTGGCCCTTAGTCAAGTCAGTAAACCTATTGCTGAGCTGCACTACTTCAAACCAGGGTGCAGTAGGACTCCTCCTCTTCAGGAATGTCTTGTGGTTAACGCCTCTCTGAGGGATGGCCGGGTGCCTGCCAGAGATGGCCACCAATTATAGACTGGTGGCCAACATCCCGTTCTTGGGCAAGGTGTTAGAGTGGGTGGTGGCGGGACAACTCCAAGCACTCTAGGATGAAACTGATTATCTGGACCCATTTCAGTCCGGCTTCAGACCTGGGTACGGTACTGAATCTGCCTTGGTCACCCTGTATGATGACTTGTGCAGTGAGAGAGACGGGGAGTGCATCCCTGTTGGTTCTCCTGGACCTCTCAGCGGCTTTCGATACCATCGACCATGGTATCTTTCTGGATAGGCTAGCTGGATTGGGGGTTGGAGGCACTGCCTTGCAGTGGTTCCGCTCCTATCTCAATGGCCAATTCCAGCAGGTGGTGCTGGGGGACTATGGCTCTGCGCCATGGCAGCTATGCCATGGAGTACCACAGGGGTCCATTTTGTCCCCCTTGCTATTTAACATCTACATGAAACCGCTGGGAGAGGTCATTAGGAGGTGTGGGCTGCGGAATCATCAGTACGCTGATAATACCCAGCTCTACCTCTCGTTTTCTACCAATCCAGGTGAGGCAGTGGCTGTACTGAACCGGTGCCTGGCCGAGGTAATGGGCTGGGT